GATTATGTGGGTGAGCGAGCGGCTGAGTGAACGATTAGGTGAATAATGAGCGAGTGAGTGGTTACGTAATTGACGAGCGCGCGAACGAGTGAGAGGTTAAGTGAATGATGAGCGAGCGAGTGAGCGGTTAAGTGAATGATGAGCGAGCGAGTGAGCGGTTAAGTGAATGATGAGCGAGCGAGTAAGCGGTTAAGTGAATGATGAGCGAGCGAGTGAGCGGTTTAAGTGAATGATGAGCGAGCGAGTGAGCGGTTAAGTGAATGATGAGCGAGCGAGTGAGCGGTTAAGTGAATGATGAGTGAGCGAGTGAGCGGTTAAGTGAATGATGAGCGAGCGGTTAAGTGAATGATGAGCGAGCGAGTGAACGGTTAAGTGAATGATGAGCGAGCGAGTGAGCGGTTAAGTGAATGATGAGTGAGCGAGTGAGCGAGTGAACGGTTAAGTGAATGATGAGCGAGCGAATGAGCGGTTAAGTGAATGATGAGCGAGCGAGTGAACGGTTAAGTGAATGATGAGTGAGCGAGTGAGCGGTTAAGTGAATGATGAGCGAGCGAGTGAGCGGTTAAGTGAAGTATGAGCGAGCGAGTGAACGGTTAAGTGAATGATGAGCGAGCGAGTGAACGGTTAAGTGAATGATGAGCGAGCGAGTGAACGGTTAAGTGAATGATGAGCGAGTGAGTGAGCGGTTAAGTGAATGATGAGCGAGCGAGTGAACGGTTAAGTGAATGATGAGCGAGCGAGTGAGCGGTTAAGTGAATGATGAGTGAGCGAGTGAACGGTTAAGTGAGCGACGAGCGAGCGAGTGAGTGGTTAAGTGAGCGACGAGCGAGCGAGGGAAAAAGCATCTGAGTGAGCGAGCGACAGCCCCTCGAGGCAAAGCGACTGTCACGGGGAGCCAGCCCCCCCACCCCCGCTCCCCCCCCCCTCCCTCTCGGCATCTCCCTTTGATGCCCCCCTCCCCATGCTCCCCCAAAATGAACAGCGCTCGTTTCAAGTCCCCCATGGCTCTGGGCGTGAGGGGGGGGGGACGGGGCTGTATCAGCACGCGGCAAGCGAGGGAGCTTAGCCGCGGAGGCCCTCAACGGCGAGAGAGACGTCGCATGCGGGACGCGACGGGGCCAGGCCGAGGGAAAGATACAACTCCTGGGGTATTTATATTCGCGGCTCTCGGTCCCCGCGGGCCCCCTTTCTTCCCGAGCGCAACATTTATTTTGCCTGGGACGCGGCCAGCGACGGAAAGCGCTGACACCGAAGCTGACGTTGCCCATCGGAACAAGGGGGGGGGGGGGGCTTCTTTCTCTGTCACGCGGCATCACGCGACCCCGGTTTTGAGACCGTCGCGCTAAAAACGTGTGACGTTTGAATTTGATTCGCGTTACGCGCTTTGTTCACCGAGCCAGCAGATCCCACGGTCGGCTGTTACTTTAATATCTATATTATATATAAGTGTGTGGAGGGGACCCGGCCCTGTCATGGGAATGTGGAATTTACACTGCTGTGGCTCAGGGCTGACAGTGGAGGTGAGTGCTGCTCGCTTGAGCAGGGAGAGGCTCAGACTCAGGCTTTGTTATTTCAGCTGCCAAAGCCACATTGAGCCAAGCAGTTCAATGTGGCCTTACATACAGAGCCATAGAGTGACATAAAGACTCAGAGTGACATAAAGACTCATAGAGCTACATAGAGAGCCATAGAGTGACATAAAGACTCAGAGTGACATACAGACTCATAGAGCTACATACAGAGCCATAGAGTGACATAAAGACTCAGAGTGACATACAGACTCATAGAGCTACATAGAGAGCCATAGAGTGACATAGAGTGACATAGAGACTCAGAGTGACATACAGACTCATAGAGCTACATAGAGAGCCATAGAGTGACATAAAGACTCAGAGTGACATACAGACTCATAGAGCTACATAGAGAGCCATAGAGTGACATAAAGACTCAGAGTGACATAAAGACTCATAGAGCTACATAGAGAGCCATAGAGTGACATAAAGACTCAGAGTGACATACAGACTCATAGAGCTACATACAGACTCAGAGTGACATACAGACTCATAGAGCTACATACAGACTCAGAGTGACATACAGACTCATAGAGTTACATACAGAGCCATAGACTCAGCTAGCAAGGCCCCATTGCGATAAGTGGCTCTGTTACAATGATGACCGCAGCCCACGACCGTTGCAGTTGCACAGAGTTACGCAGAGATCCGTAGAGTTACATGCAGCCATCGAGTTGCATCGAGAAGCACATCGCTTGATTTGAAGCTTTCACGACTGAAGGAATCCATACTTTTTGGTTCCTTCGGTAAATTCACGTGGGTAGAAAAATAAAAACAAAAAATAATAAATGTATTTTATGTTTCTACCTACGTGACTTTACCGAAAGAACCAACGAGTATGTGAGTACATAGCTACATAGAGATCCGTAGCGTTACACAGAGACTCATAGGCCACAGTCAAAGGCCGTCGGTAGTAGCAGCACTTACCGGACACCGCAGGGTGGGAACAAGCAAAGTAACAAGAGCAAAAACAACAAATTATATACAGGAAACCCACACCAGAGCTGACCGCAAACAGGACAAGCGATAAATAAACAGTACTTAGGATCGGGTCAGGTAGCCTCCCCTAGGGTAGTTGTAGCCGGAGGACCCCAGAGCGTAGCCAGAGTAGTGTATCTAGGCTGTGTACCTAGGCTGTGTACCTAGGCTGTGTACCTAGGCTGTGTATCTAGGCTGTGTCGCTAGGCTGTAACAGAGTATCAGGACTGTTGGAGTGTTGTATTGTAATAAAGAAGTTACCTCTACAAGTGTCTCCGGAACCCATTACACAGGAAACCCGCACCAGAGCTGACCGCAAACAGGACGAGCGATAAATAAAAGGTACTTGGGACACTCATCTAACGGGCTCGGACATAAGCAGCGTTCACGGCCACAGTGTGGCGGAGGTGATCCTGACAGCGTGGTCCGGACGGAGTACGTGGGGGACGCTACGGTCGGTTACGAGGAAGACCCGACGTTTGGTGCGCCGGGGCAAGGGAAGGCTGTGACGCCGACTCTCGCATTTGAGACCGGTGCCGAGTACTTGCGTCGTCACTTGGCAACAGTTCTGCCGTGGCAATCTGACTGGAAGAATTTCCGATTAGCACGGTGGGTGGGGGAAGGGGGAAAGGGGGGGGGGCTACGTATGGTGCGAAAGAAGTTCGCCTTCCTCACATTTCCTGCAGCACAGCGTCCGCATGCAGACTGCAGCGATAGACGCAGCGTGGGATCTCCTATCAGCCATGCCACACGGAGAACCTTGACACTGCTGTGATCATCATGTGCCAGGGTCTATCCACTGCTGAGATCATCATCCACATCATCATGTGTCAGGGTCTATCCACTGCTGAGATCATCATCCACATCATCAAGTGCCAGGGTCTATCCACTGCTGGGCTCATCATCCACATGATCATGTGCCAGGGTCTATCCACTGCTGGGATCATCATCCACATCATCACGTGCCAGGGTCTATCCACTGCTGGGCTCATCATCCACATCATCACGTGTCAGGGTCTATCCACTGCTGGGCTCATCATCCACATCATCACGTGCCAGGGTCTATCCACTGCTGGGCTCATCATCCACATCATCACGTGTCAGGGTCTATCCACTGCTGGGCTCATCATCCACATCATCACGTGTCAGGGTCTATCCACTGCTGGGATCATCATTCACATCATCACGTGCCAGGGTCTATCCACTGCTGGGATCATCATCCACATCATCACGTGCCAGGGTCTATCCACTGCTGGGCTCATCATCCACATCATCACGTGCCAGGGTCTATCCACTGCTGGGATCATCATTCACATCATCACGTGCCAGGGTCTATCCACTGCTGGGATCATCATCCACATCATCACGTGCCAGGGTCTATCCACTGCTGGGTTCATCATCCACATCATCACGTGTCAGGGTCTATCCACTACTGGGATCATCATCCACATCATCACGTGTCAGGGTCTATCCACTGCTGGGATCATCATCCACATCATCACGTGTCAGGGTCTATCCATGGCACATAGGGGGCAGCCGCCGAGTTAACAGACCGCACAAAAAGAGACGTGTGGTTAATTACACGGTTTTTGTTTTGGTCAAACAATTTTAACTTTGTCAACTGAATCGACCAAGAGGCGGAGCACGACGGTGGGTTAGGATCTTGACGGAGCACGGCAGCGTCGTGGTGGGGTGGTGGGGCAGGGTCGTGGTGGGGCAGGGTCGTGGTGGGGTGGTGGGGCAGGGTCGTGGTGGGGCAGGGTCGTGGTGGGGTGGTGGGGCAGGGTCGTGGTGGGGCAGGGTCGTGGTGGGGTGGTGGGGCAGGGTCGTGGTGGGGTGGTGGGGCAGGGTCGTGGTGGGGGTGGGGCAGGGTCGTGGTGGGGTGGTGGGGCAGGGTCGTGGTGGAGCAGGGTCGTGGTGGGGTGGTGGGGCAGGGTCGTGGTGGGGCGGTGGGGCAGGGTCGTGGTGGGGGTGGGGCAGGGTCGTGGTGGGGTGGTGGGGCAGGGTCGTGGTGGGGCAGGGTCGTGGTGGGGTGGTGGGGCAGGGTCGTGGTGGGGTGGTGGGGCAGGGTCGTGGTGGGGCAGGGTCGTGGTGCGGTGGTGGGGCAGGGTCGTGGTGGGGCGGTGGGGCAGGGTCGTGGTGGGGGTGGGGCTGGGTCGTGGTGGGGCAGGGTCGTGGTGGGGTGGTGGGGCAGGGTCGTGGTGGGGCAGGGTCGTGGTGAGGTGGTGGGGCAGGGTCGTGGTGGGGGTGGGGCAGGGTGGTGGTGGGGTGGTGGGGCAGGGTGGTGGTGGGGCGGTGGGGCAGGGTTGTGGTGGGGCGGTGGGGCAGGGTGGTGGTGAGGTGGTGGGGCAGGGTCGTGGTGAGGTGGTGGGGCAGGGTCATGGTGAGGCGGTGGGGCAGGGTGGTGGTGGGGTGGTGGGGGTGGGGCAGGGTGGGGGTGTGGCGGGCTACCTGTACGGCTGCGCCTCCTCGAGGAACCTGCGCTGCTCATCGGGGGGGGCGCCCGACCGCAGCTCCTTGACGACGACGCGGGACGGGCTGAAGCCGGCGAAGATCTCTCCCAGCAGCACCTGCAGCAGGGCGCCGGGTGGATGGGTGGGACCACAGTAGCAGGGTCAGCAGCGGCGACGGCAGGAGCGAGAACACCACAGCAGCAGCAGCAGCGGTAGTGGCAGCAGTGGCGGCAGAAGTATCAGCAGGAGAAGCAGCATTAGTAGTATCAGCAGCAGTAGCGGCAGTAGTGTCAGCAGAAGTGGCAACATCAGCAGCAGTATGTGCAGTACCAGCAGTAGCAGCGACGGGTCACCATGCGGTGTGTCGCGACGCGTCGATTCGGATCAAGATCAATCTTCACGCTCACGACACAATCTAAATCTAGATTGAAATCTAATTTCGTAAGAACTGCTTTTCGTGTTTAGCTACGTACGGCGCGAAAGAAGTTCAACATACATACTGTACTATACACTACACTATACACTACACACACTGCGCTATACACTGCGCACTATGCTACATTAAACACTACACGACACTTCACTATACACTACACTACGACTATAAACGACACCGCTCTACTAAATAGAAAACGCTAATGTTTAGAACTACTTTTTCGTGTTTGGCTTGAATGCCCTTCCACCCGCACCTCCGCGTAGCACGGTTGGCTACGTACGGCGCGAAAGAAGTTCAACATACACACTGCACTACGTAGCCCGCGTTTCACATCAGCTGATGGAGCGAACGGGGTCAGACAAACCGTAAACACGCACCAGGGGCGGTGAAAGCATTCTCGAGTCGAATCGGGAACCCCCGAATTGTGACAATTTGTGGATACGCTGCGTGGGGGAGTGGTGTGGTGTGTGGTGTGGTGGGGGTGTGGTGTGGTGGGGGTGTGGTGTGGTGGGGGTGTGGTGTGGTGGAGGGTGTGGTGGGGGTGTGGTGTGGTGGGGGGTGGTGTGGTGGGGGGTGGTGTGGTGGGGGGTGGTGTGGTGGGGGGTGGCGTAGTGGGGGTGTGGTGTGGTGGGGGGTGTGGTGTGGTGGGGGGTGTGGTGTGGTGGGGGGTGGTGTGGTGGGGGTGTGGTGGGGGTGTGGTGTGGTGTGGTGGGGGTGTGGTGGGAGTGTGGTGTGGTGTGGTGGGGGTGTGGTGTGGGGGGGGTGTAGTGTGGGTTTGGTGTGGTGTGGGGGGGGGTGTGGTGTGGTGGGGGGTGGTGTGGTGGGGGGTGTGGTGTGGTGTGGGGGGGGGGGGTGTGGTGGGGGTGTGGAGTGGGTTTGGTGTGGTGTGGGGGGTGTGTGGTGTGGTGGGGGGTGGTGTGGTGGGGGATGGTGTGGTGGGGGTGTGGTGTGGTGGGGGGTGTGGTGGGGGTGTGGTGTGGTGGGGGGTGTGGTGTGGTGTGGATGTGGTGTGTGTGGTGTGGTGGGGGGGGTGTGGTGTGGGTGTGGTGGGGGGTGTGGTGTGGTGTGCGGTGGTGAATTGTTGGACGAACTAGCGAGGTCGCCGCCACGACTTGGCAGTTCCAACTTCTCCCTGTCGATTCCTTTCAGTTGGGGGAGCAAGGGAGGCAAACCGTTGAGGAATCGACTGCTCGTGATTGCGACACGGGGTTCAGGCTACCGGCTCTCAATTGACCAGACACGGAATGTCCTGTGCTTTTTGAGATCCGGGACACTGCGTTGCGTTGCCAGATGCACTTTACGGCGTTTCCTCGTTATCCGCGGAGATTGCTCGTGACCAGCACATTACGCGGAAGATGATGTTGGTCTACTAAAACCTAGCTTTGTAATGATTTACATTAAATAAATAAGCTACGAAAATACATTACAATGATCATAACACGAAAAAATTGTCGTAATAAACATGAAGTAAATTAAATGTACGTTCAAATATGAAATACGCATCATCACATCTCATCACTTTATCTCATCACTTCCCCCCCCTCTCTCTCGACGCAGTAGTCATGTAGAGTTCCAAATGCGAGATTCGCGGACGGCCAAAATCGCGGATCGCCGAGTTCAAGAAACACCGCAAATCCGTCTGGCGCGCTCCGTTTGACACGCGGGAGTCAACGGAAGCGCTCGAGTCCGCTGGCCGGACGAGAGGACGCCACGGAGACCACGACACGGCGTCGTCGTTCGCTAAGCGCGAGTCACCGAACGTGCCGCCACCACCCGTCACCGAATCCGAGGACGTCGGGGAACACGCGTCATTCATTGCGACCGAATGCATTTTGCTTTCCACATTTTCCGCTCGTAACTTTTTGTTAAATTTTTTTAATTTAAATTCCGGCTAAGTAACGGACATCCGTTGACTTGAGCCCGACCTTGCCTTTCTTTTTTGGGGTGGGGGTAGAGGTGGGTTTTCGAGGACAGAATGAAGCCACGAATTTTCCACGATCCTTGGCGACGATTAGCACGTGCCGTTTCTCAATGCCGCCGCAAACTCCTTGCGAACGCGCCGCACCCTGCAACCCTCCAACCCCCCCCTCCCCCCCCCCCCCCCCGAGATAAACCGCAACTCGGGAACCCGACGGCACGAAAGCGTCAGAGCCGTCGGCATCCCGGGCTCCGTGGGGCCCGGGAGGGGTGGGGCGGAGGTGTGGGAAGAGTCCCGCAAGTTTTTTTGGCGGACGGCGCCGTTTTATGTCGCTGGCCACCGCGTCGCGGTCGAGCCAGCGAACTACGCAGGGGTCGAGCCTGGATAGCACCTGGATAGCGCCTGGGTGGGCGGGCGCTCAGAGCAAGCAGTGGGCAAGTGCTGCAATGTGAATTTGCTATCCTGCACTTCTACGCCCCCACCCACCCACCCATGTCTTTGATTACCCTTCACCAACAACCCGCACTGACCAGCGTGAAGTATGGTCAAAGAACACCCCCCCACCCCCACCCCCGCCCCCACCGCCCCCTCGCCACGGGGAGGCGCTCATCCAGCAGTGGAGTGACAAACGCGGCTGTGCGCACGCACGCACGCACATTCACGTCTGCCAATTGCAACTTAACTTTCCACTGGCAGTTGTTGTTTTTTGGGGTTTTATTTGTACACTTTTTTAGCTTGGATCGTTATCCGAGTTTGATGCGGTCACGGAGGGTACAGTGTTGCTCAGTTTGGAAACCGCGGAGTGGGCGAGCAGGCGGGCGAGGGCACAGACGGGTGATGAGCTCCGCTTATCTGGCTCGCCATCGCACATTTTTTGACTTTCCAACGAGTGTCCAAATATATCCGCGGAGAGGCTTTATTTACACGCGTGTAGCGGCGGTGAAATAGCATAAAATAATAAAATATGGATTGCGTTTGTAAAAACAATTAGAGACACTGTTCAACTAAACAATTTTTTTTATTTTACCAGGTAAGGCCCACTTCAGCTATACAGCTCTTTTTTCAGAAGCGACCACAAATGAAAGCTCAACAAAGTGACTTATCATCACGTGGAAATTTACAGCAGCCAAAAATATGACGCCGAATAATGTAAGCCTGTGCATTTTCAGATGCTCTATCTCTCTCTCCCGCTCATTGGCGATTTGGATTTCTCTACGAGGTCAAGGTGTGACTCCGTCAGCACCACGGCACGCGCAGAAGAGTGGAGATCAAAGGGCACAGCGTGGTGGCTGGAAGCCGAGAGGGCAGGAGTTTGAAAGTCAAGGACAAAAAAGCTGAGATTGGAGAGCACAGCCGAGAAGGTCAGAATACGGAGGTCAGACAGCAGAGGTCGGATGGACCATGGGAGGGAGGTCAGAGGGCAAAATATACAAATCGTGGGCATTGGGGCGCCACGGTGGCTCGGAGATGTTAACAACCTCGCCTAGTACACAGGAGGTCGTGGGTTCGATCCCGACCCTGACGCCTGCTGCTGTATATTTGGAGTTTGTGTGCCTCTCTCCCCGTGGTCACGTGGATTTTTCTCCGGGTCCTTCGGTTTTTCCCTCCACATTCAGACTCAACATGCGTTTAAGAATACTTGCCTGCTATAAATTTCCACGTGATAATCCACACCGTTGAGCTGTCATTTGCGAGCAGGTCGCTTCTGAAAAAGAGCTGTAACTCAGTGCGCCTTACCTGGTTGTTAAAAAAAATTTCAGTTTAGTTTGGACGGCTGAGCTGGGCACAAAATGTTTACAGACTTCGCAGTCCCTGGGCTCCACGCTCCCCCCCCCCCCCCCCAAGCTTCCCCTTGCTTCCCATCGCTTCTCCGCGCTTCTCGTGCACACGACGCCGGAAACGTGCGGTTATAGGGCGGTTAAAGGACACGTCCGGCTCGGATGTAGCCAGTCGCCGTGCGGAGATCCGCTAGGATTCTCTGTTCCAGCAGAGACGCGCGGGGTGACGCAGTCGATGGTGAGGGAGGGGGGGATTTTTCACTTGGAAAAAAATATATATTTTTAAACGCAAATGAGACACATTGGTTTGATGGACTCGTCATCATTACACAAACTCCGCGAACTGAATTCGACAAATGGAATCCTAAGGCAGGACCCCTTCTGAGCTGAGTACAGGCTTTTTGGAATGAGTTTTACTTTAATGGTCAATAGAAAGCAAAGTTGGGAGACATTTTGGGAAAGCGTTGTGAGAAGCGGTTTATGTCGCTGAATACACACATGCAGCATGTACGTATAGAGTTACATTATATACACAACGCACACAACACACATGCAAAACACACACACAACACACACACAACACACACAACACACACACAAAACACACACGCAAAACACACACGCACAACCCACACACAGCACAACACACATGCAAAACACACACACAACACGCACACACAACACACACAACACGCACGCACAACACACATGCAAAACACACACACAACACTCACAACACACACACAACACACACGCAAAACACACACGCACCACCCACACACAGCACAACACACATGCAAAACACACACGCACAACCCACACACAGCACAACACACATGCAAAACACACACGCACAACACACACAACAAGCACTCACAACACACACAACACACACACAACACACGCACAACACATGCACAACACACACACAACACGCACGCACAACACACGCACAACACGCACAACACACACACAACACACACAA